GAAAATCCCATACTATTTGATGCAAATAATAAGAAAAAATCCTGCTGTAGATTTTCCAAGTTTAGTTCTATAGAAACTCCAGAGAGGGAAAATTGTGAAACTAATATTTTAGTGCTCTATTTAATTAATTATTACATTAGGGTTTACAATTTTTACTTTCAAAAATGAAAAACTGTTGGATAATGAGCAACATCTATTATTTGATAGAGAAAATAATTATGATATAGAAAACTCTCAACATTGAAAGAGACACAAAACAATAAAATTGTTCTATCAGTTGTTTAAACTGGAAATAATTTCATGGTTATTTTAACTAATGTTTGGTTTTTAATGTTAGTTTTGTTTCTGAATTCCAAGGTATATAAAATATACACATTTGCTTTTAAATGTCCAGGTTGGAGGGTTATTGAAGAGATACCCAGTTATTTGTACAACTTTCTTTTTATACTGGGTAAAAATAACTAGTGTCTTTCAAAAGTATTCAGCTTACTATTTGTTTGGCATCATTTAGTGTGGCAATCCCTATTGATGCATTTCTGTTTAGTTTTCTTTCCAATTCATTAAAATATTATTTTGAAATTTGTGTCCATGATATTATACATAAATAAATTACACAAAATAAATTACATAAATAAATTCAAACAAATTATATTCAAATTGTCTGAATGTCATGAAGATAAGAATATATGTTAGATTATATTTTCTTAATGAGACAGGGAGTCACACTGTGAGGGTTTGGATATTAAGGCATATCTTGCTGTGATTTTGTTTTTCAACAGGATTTATGATTATTATTGAGAGATATATCCTTTCTCAAATGCAGTTACTTTCTTTTGATAAAAAATTCTAGAACTCAGAGTAATGTCATAATTATGAAAAGTCATCAACCTTTCTATATTAAGTGTAAAATGTTAGCTGGTAAATTCTTTGGTGGGAAGCATTTTATCATTCTGGAAAAAGCAATTGTTTTTGGCCTTTAGATAAAATGATGATCAACAAAAGAGTTTCCTACAGGAAGGAACTTCAGTTTCTATTGAAGCACCACCTAGAGAGCTCCATTTACAAAGCCATGAGACATGGAATTTCTTAGAAAGCAAAATTTGCTTATGAGTAACTTCACATTCCACACCTCACATTTAACAGCCTGAATTCTGATCAAAAGCATTCTTCAAAACCTTGCATATCCTTAATTTCAAATGCACTTTTTTCTTGACCTAGTAATCATTACAATCCGATACCGAAATGCTTATCGTCTTCAGATTTTATTAGTAAGGAGATGGTGCTTTTCACAGTAACTAAATAAACTCTTACTATGTTTAAACCAATTTGTAGCACTGCCAGATCCACCCCCTGGTCATAGAGTGAGGGTATTTGGATAGCTGCCTGGTTGTAAAGCAAGCTTATGTATATCATTGATTCTCAAATGGACAAAATGTGCAAAATTTGCTTAGAAGGAAAGGTTTGTCAAGAGAAATGGTGTCTGTGAGGAAACAACTGCACAAATAGCCTCTTAGCAGCCAGAAGTATTACATACCCAGAGGGAGCTGGGAGGCCTTTGTGCAGATGCTAGATAAGCTTGCCAAGGAACCATATGTTGCTCCTGGAAGAAGAGTTTTGCAGTTTGGCATCTGGATCCTGGTATTATCATTCAATAGGGAAAAAGAGAAGCATATGAAGATGAGTACGATAGTGTCCACACAGTACCAGACATCCAAGGTACACAAAGAAAAATTTAAAGCTTGATTTTGATGAAGAGGAAATTTAATTTCTGTGACTAAGATGTAAATGTTTTTAAGTAGATGCAAATGACAAGGTGAGAAGAATTAACATATTAATTTACATTATAGAAGTACCAGTAGCACTCACTGATTCATGTATTCTTATATGGGAATTTCAGAATCTGATTGACCAATAGCTACATGGTAGAGAGACTTAAGACTCTAGAGGATACTTTTAAAGTGACTTTAAATATTTACACTCCACCATGTTTTTCAATGCAAATTGAAACGAATGAACAATAAGAGATTTTCTTTTCTTCCTATTCAGGTTTCATATTATGAAATTTGCCCCAAATACATCACTGTACTGGAGTGCTACGTACTCTGGTGCACAGTATGGAATCAAATTCTACCAAACATGACCTAAGTCAAAGGGAATATTTTTTTTTTCTGCTGATGTACCAGGCAGTAATATTAGAGGTAAAATTCCATAAAGGTCTGAATTCTGTGTTTAAATTGGCAAAATCAATGGGAGAAAATTAAAGCATGCACTGTGCAATTAATTTAGTCATATTTGAATAGCATAAATTGTCTATTTAGGGATATGCTGATATTTATGCTGTTTGTGACAAGTAGCCACCTGTATCCTAGCATTCTATGCCTCGCCTTTTGACTATTGCACTCCAATGACTAATTGACAGCTCTTAAAATTTTCTGTCACAGTTGGATTAACTAGTCAGTCATGGGTCAATATATCTGTTTGACACAGCTGAAAAGGCTTTCACAATGAGAAGCTTTGGGATAATGTATGGACAGGGCCAGCTTTCTACTTGCCCTTTGCCATACCTCTATTTTGGCAATAGATCCCATGTTTTTTAATTACGAAAGAGGTTGTCACTACAATAATGAGTTCTCAATCTGCATTTAGTTTTGAATACAAATAGATAATGGGGTTCAGAAAAGGTTAAATTTTTATCTGGCTGTGTTTACATGTGGCCAAAACAACTCATCTTTTCAGTCAATTTAGAGGAAAAATCAGCTAGATAATTTATTTGTTGTTGAGTAGCAACCAATTGACCCAGTGTGCCACCTTTGACCAGTTTAATACTGTGAAAAACACCATTAAATCAGGTGGATGTGTCAGTTAACTCTCTCCATCTCTTTTCATTAATATTCTGTCTCTTTCACATGAGGTTTTAAGGGCAAAAATTTCATTGTAAAGTATTTTTATAATTCTCACCCTGCTTTGTTTTTCCTCATGTTATCATGGCTTCATTTGGTCTGCAGAGCAGAAAAATATGAACCACATCTAAGGTTAATATTTTATTCAAGAATGACATATGTCATGTGATTTTGAGTTCAATGTATATAAACACACCTACACACACTTATAGCCACCCATAGCCACATATGCACACACAAAACACACTCCTACCTGACCCATGTTCTAGATCATGAAAGTGACAGTGTTTAGAGTCTCGGTTGGCAAACATTCAGATATTCAGAACATACATGCCAAAGATATTTTCCTACTATTATTATTGTCATTAGTTTTACTTTGACCATGAATGGTCCATAAATGCTCATTAGGAATGAAAAAAAAGTTTTCAGTAAAATGTAAAGCTCATTTTTCTGTTGAAGCACAGATAGAATGTTGTATATTTTTGTCACAGCATTTCTACTCACAGCAGGCAGCAACTATGCAGTATACCAAGAGGTTGCATGACATGATACTGATATCTTTTACTAGATATTCAATGTCTTGCCAAGAGCAACTTTACAGTAGTACGTTATTTTTCTTTTATAAGACATTATCATAGAAACACAAGGTACATTATTTATATAAGAAGAAGATATGAAAAATGTGTATATGTTGAGAATAATGCATGTTTTATGCATATTGCCAAAGGCTGTGAATAAACAAACAAATATATATTTAATACCATGGAAAATATGAATGTTTGTTATTTTACTATAATCTGCATAATATTTTCTTCTAGTTCTTTTTCAAGTGAGGAGTTTGGTCATTATAATAACATAAAACAACTTTATCCTCTAAATATAGTTTCATAGCTCCTTATATATAAAACACAGAGGTCCCTCTAATTTATCATTAATACTCTTAATGCTTTCTTACAATAATACCAGTAAAGACCCTGTAGAAAGAAATGACAGCCTACCTTCTGAGAATACATTTGCACCTTGGCATCCCAGTATCGCCTCCTTTCTTGTAGACACTTGAGATATGGAGATTTACCTGTCAAAGCCTGGAACTCATGACCCCTCCCTAAAGCTATCCTTAAAAAACAGTTTTAGAAAAATGTTAAATGCATTAACCTTGTTCTGATCTTGGGCACATAGCTGCAGAGCTGTTCTCAGGTAGGGATAATTGAAAGGCATGAGGTTTTATATAGATTTAAGTCTTTTTCCTGAGGCAAAGCCAAAGGATAAACCCATGCCACATTTTCAGCTGCAAGAACCAAAACCTGGTTTCATAGCCTCAGCTTATTGAGCTACAGATGAACAAAATGGTCATGTTTTTCTTCTGAGCATTTTTTTGTATATCCCTTTTTCTTCATTTTTACTTATTCTGTGTATGTCTGTGTATGTTCCTGGTTATAAACATAGCAGATGCCTTTGAATTTCACTTTTTAGGGAGGAATGTAATTTGGATTATTGACTTGGTCTTTATTCAAAATGTTGCTCATATTAGAAATAAGGTAATATTTCTAAGAAGTACTGCTTTAATAACCAATGCAGGGTGGTTCATTTGCTGGTTGGGAACTTACCATGTGTGCACTTTAAATTAAATCATATAATCAGTCACCATTTCAGAAATACCCCAGAACAAACTACATTTACTGAAGCCAGAGGACTTTACTGAACAAGGATATAACAGTAAATGGTTTTTGGGTCCATTTCACACACTCAGTGGACAGATTGTTGAGGTAGGCTCTGGTGCAGAGTTGCTTCTATCTCACTCCTCTCCAAAGGGTAGCATCTTTGACAGAACACAATTAGGGACCTGACTTTAATAAAGGCTTACTTTGATGAGCAGTGCTGGCACATGCCTTTGCCTTTAATCCCTCCACTTGGGATATAGGCATTCAGATCTGTTTGAAAGCTGAAAGATTCAATCACAAACTTAAAATCAAAGAAAAAAGTTTACTATAGTTGATAATGCTTTTTGTTTTGTTTTGTTTTGTTTTGAGACAGGGTTTCCCAGTGTAGCTTTGGATGCTATATTGACACTCACTCTGTAGACCAGGCTGGCCTTGAATTCACAGAGATCCGCCTACCTCTGCCTCCTGAGTGCTGGGATTAAAGGCATGCTCCACCACCTCGCAGCTGAAAACACTTTTCTGAAAGGATAGAGTAGGAGTGGATCTTCAAGGGAAGGGAAGTGGGTAGAAACTAGAAGGAGTGGAGAGAGAAGAAACTGAAATAAGAATGTAATAATGTATTAGAGAAGAACAAATTCAAAAGAAAACAAAAGTTAAAAACAACATGCTTTCACTTGAAAAGAAAAAATCCAAAATTTAACACAAATATAAGACAAAATAAAAATTTCAAAAACTGGAAAAATTCAAAGTAATCCCAATTTTTATAAGATTTTTAGTAAAATAAACATATATTTCAGACTTTATTTACTAGGGAAAACAGAAAACTTTTACAATCCTCATGCAATTTAATCAATACATTGGATGACTATACTAAATAAAGTGTACTTCACAGTTCTTTCAAATATGTGTATAATAGAGCATCAACTGAAAATTATAAATATTTACAATTATCTTAATTCATAGATTTTTATAACTGACAGTATAAGGCTGCCTGAAGTTGGCACAAGAATATATTACAATATAGTAGAACAAAGAGAGGTTAATGTACCGACTGTGTTGGTTTAAATAAAAATGACCCCCATAAGCTCATATATTTGAATGCTTGGTTTTTATTAGGTGGAATACTTGTGCAGGATTAGGAGGTATGGCCTTGTTGGAGGAAATATGTCACTGGGGGTGGGGTTTGGAGTCTTAAAAGCTGCAGTCATCCCCAGCTCACTCTCTTAGCAATGTGCTTATGGATCAGCATGTAAACTCCTAGTATTGTTCCAGCTTGCCTCCCTGCTGCCATGCTCCTGCCATGTTCTTCGCTGCCCATTCTGAAACATTAAGTACGAAGTAAATTCTTTCTTTTGCAAGTTGCCTAGATCATGGTGTCATATCAAATGAAAGAAAATTAGGTCACTAACAAAGGGCAAGGCTAGGAACAGCATAAAATGAAGGAAGTCTTTGTAGCTCAGTACTGTTTCTCTAAGGACAGAAAGCTGAGGACACTTCATTGACGGGGTTTCTTGTCGTTGTAACATAAATGATTAGCTACTGTTATTGAAAATGCTTTTTTAAAATTACAGAGTTATTTCACTCCCGACCATACAACAACCAATGGAAATGACTTCCTACAATGAATTTATGCATTGCTTTCCAGGCTGGTGGTAACAAAAATCCACAGAGTTTGTTGCTTAAGACAGCAGAAAGTTACTTTCATACCATCTAGATGTGGGAGCTGTGGAGTCAAAGTGTGGCAGGAATGAGGCTTTTACATCTTCTGGAGGTTTTGTCACTGGCAGGTTCCCAATTTCTCATAATGACAAGATACTATTGGAACTCATTGGTTTATAGTTGCATCATTTAATTTCTCTTCCTCACCATACTTACAAAAGCAAAACAACAAATAGATAAGAGTCCCGTGAACCACACCAGAATGTCATCTGAACTAATTACATATGCAAAGCCATGTTTTTCAAGGAATGTAACATATTGAAGTACCAATTTGTTATTTTGTGCACTCTATGCAACATCACACTAATTTATATCAAAGAGGAAAAGAACCTCTACAAGTTAAAAAGAAATACGTGTGTATATTATTTCTTTCAAATTTTTCAATAGTTGTCTGATCTTGTGCCCAGAGGAAGGACAATTGGGGTGAAGTATGCTTCAGACTCAGCTTTCAAAATAACTTTCACCCCTCAAAGCACAGAGATAGGTCTTTTATGGAAATCAAGAATAAATACATTTGAGCTAATTTCAAAATAAGCAAAAGAATGATATTAGATCCCAGCATTAACCTGTAATGATACAGTGCCTGTATGGCAATGGGTGGCATGAAGTTTATTAGACTATCCAATGCTAACTAGTCTAGGCTGTCCTTCACTTTAATGTCTAAGCTAGACTCTTTTAGCTCTATACATAGAATGTAAGAATCGTAAACTTATGTAAGATTATTACTAAAAATACTCTTTCAAGTCAACAAATAACTGACATACACTTAGAAACTGAAAAAAAAATATGACAAGAAAAAAATCTATTTTATGGAATGTCGAATCTGGAAATATTTGAAGTACCAATGAGTACAGTCAAGTAGAAACTGAATTTCTTCAAACAGTGATTTAGGAATTGGGAGGCAAGATTGATGAGCTTATTCAGGGCATTCATACGTAGGCTAGAAAGAAAACAAACTACCTGGTGAGTAGATTAACTCTCCTCATAAACGAATTCTACCCAATGCTGGTGTTTTATTTCAGGGAAGAAATAAACTCATGATTAGAGTTTGATCTATGCTTGTTTTTGACCTATTATTATAGATTAAAATATCTATAACAATTTTTGCTAATTTACTTTGTTACCAAATCCAGACTTGAACTAATATGAAACTATTTTTTGTACTTTTCTCTTAGTGTGTGTACTCACATAAGTTCCTGCGTTACTGTTCGTGATTTTGTTTACACAGTGTCAACAAAATTAGAACTTGAATTTTACTAAATAAAAGGGCACATGATCAAACATATAAAAAATAAAGCCAAATAATTTCTAACAAATTAAAAAATGATAATTGTAGATATGGACATTTATTATAAAAGAAAACATTCATGGATGTGTGTTGTTAGTGCTATCACATTAAACATCTCAGATTAGGGAACTTACATGAGACTTTTCTTTCTTAAAATTCTGAAAGTTCCAATATATATATATATATTCTAGGTGTGTGTGTGTGTGTGTGTGTGTGTGCGTGTGTGTGTGTGTGTAAGAATATTTCCTATGAGAGCTGGCAGTGGTAGCACACACCTTTAATCCCAGCACTCAGAGTCAGATGTAGGTTACCTCTGATAATTTGAGACCAGCCTGGTTTACAATAGCTAGTTCTAGGACAACCTCCAAAGCCATAAAGAAATCCTGTCTCAACCCCTCCCCCAAAGAATATTTCCTATGAAGACAATAGTCATATTACTGTAGAATCCTCACTGAGTACACCATTTATCTTAATCCCTTTCCAAAAGCCTATGTTTTTCTTTTATAATTGCATTCCAGGTATTGATAATCAGGATTTCAATGTACATATTTGAAGATGAAAAGGGAGGTACAGAGTACTGCTTAAGTACAACTGTCTTTGCTTCCTTTATTTTCACTTTAATACCTGCAAATTAATTTGTTTGATTCTTGTTTATACCATGTAGTGGAAAGCAATAATGATAAGATTTAGTGATTACATAGAGACTTCCTTGAACAGTTAAGGAAAATTGGGGATTAGTCAAATAAGGATATGGAAATAGTTGCAAAGACGTTCAGAAAACACATCAGAGATTTCTTCATATAAAGGGACCCATGGATCTTGACTATGCTATATATGACAGAGAATTAGCCAGACAGTGTAGGTAGGTACTGACTAGACACATTCTAAGGAATAAAGAAATTGATGTTGTGCCATTATGCTCATACTACTTCCTGTTTTACTCTCAGCACTGGGAGCACTGATGAAAGCAGGATATGGCCTCAATAAGCATCTGTAATATTCCCTTTGATCAGCTTGGAGGATTAATAGAGTTTTCCAGGGATTGGTCCAAATAATACTGGACCTTGTTCACAATTGAAGATTTCACAGCTGTGCCTCCTAGGTCAATAGAATTTTTGTATTATAAAAAGAACTACTTTGAAGGCTTTAAGTTGTATGCCATATTTTTCTTCATTTCTGTCTTTGAAACAGGATTATTCAAAAACCTTCATTCAGACCAGAATTCATTCACTTGGTGGAGTGTATTAAGTACCTGTTATGAGACATGACAGTATTAAACAATGGAGTAGTACAAAATCAGAAACACTATTCCAGGTAGATACTATCTTTTTTAACAAGTCATATCTTTGGTTTATTTTAAATAAATAAATATTTATGTCATAATTAAATGAGAAAATTGTAAGGAATTGTTAAAGACACATAAGGTAGACTATTCAATGTCAATCATTTTTAGATATAAGTGCCACTATAACTGCAGGTAACTTGCTCTCCTTTATGCAACCAATACACTGAAATAAAATTATCATCTAATTCCACTTAGAGCTGCCTATATGTGCATGAATATGAGACCGTCTACTGGAGTGTGGGTGGACTTTTAGTGGCTGTATTCTGAAGACAATTGACTCACCTTTTTCTAGAAGCTAAACAATACCATGTGCTTCTTAGGTAGTGTTGGAACTGTAAGAACCAGGTATCTTGTATTCCTGAACTGAAATAACAAAATATTCTTAAAATGTAGATATACTCCAAAGAAGTCTAAATGTTTAATAAAAATCCTTGGTGGATATCAATAATATTCATTATATTAGGGAAAATGATCTTCAATTTTTATAAAACCATGGAAAAAAATCTCACTTATGGTGTAATCACATCATTTTCATACTGCCCCATCATCTGACTACACTCCAATACCTGTCAGAAATCTCTTCTCAAGTAATTATTGTTGTTATATTTATATTAATATGCATAATGATTGTGTATTTTAAGTAAGCTTATAAAATAGTTTCCAAGCATTCTCGGTAAGATTTATTTCTCATCCTTCCTTCCTCTATCTTCTTAACATTACCCTCACTTCATCTCCCTACTTATCCCCCAGTTTCCACTAATCCCCCTTCAGAATGTGTGTCCTTACCATCTCCATTTCTAGAGACATTTCTTGTCCATGCTCATGGTCCCTTCTACTTTCCTTGTCTCTGTGGTTATTCCAGGTTATATACATACATCTAAGGATTAGGAACTAGGATACACAAAGTAAACATTTGTCTTTCTAGGTCCAAGATACCAAGCTCATTATACTTTCCAGTTCCATTCTTTTACCTGTAAATTTCATCATTTCACTCTGCCTTATCATGACTGTAATTGCATTATGCACATAAACCACATTATTGAGCATTGTTGGTGGTACTGTGGTGAGCACAGCTGTGTTCTATTCATTTGGGCCCTAACTCAGGCGGGCGGCTGGCATAAAGCTCACATGTGGTGGTAGTGGGGCTTAGGCGGCTTTTGGCAGAAAGATTTATTGTAACAGAATGGTGTCAGTGAGCCGAATGACTCCATGCCCCAAGGTTCCCAGTGAAAGAGGGAAACCTGCAGCCACAGACAGCCCTGTCTGTAGGGCCGCTGAGAGACATCGGAGCAGCTTCCATATGCTCACGCCATCCGAGTGCTCTTGGGCATTGGACTCGGCACTACCGAGATGATAAAGACAGATACAGATAAAGAAAAACCTCTAAAGGTTTACACTGCATTTAAAAATATATGTAGGCTTGTGAGAGAAGGAAGCAGAGGCAGGGGGGGTTCCACACAGAAAAACCGTCTCCGGGGGAAAAAAAAAAAAAACAAAAGAAAGTAAAAATAAAGTAATAAAAAAGCCACATAAAGATTTAAAATACACAGAGAATCTGGATACTTTATGCCATTTTGTTGTCTTTAAATTGTTTGATTGACAAGGAAAGAATTACTGCTGCTAAAATATATTTGATTAGAAATGTTGCTAAATTAATCCAACTTATACATTGTAAAAATGCTTTTGACTTCAGAATTTAAGTCTAAGGACAGGCTACTTGGAAAAAAGTTTTTACTTGTTTTTCCACAGAAAATCAAAAGCTGTGGATTCCTAACAGACTAATATAGTTTGATCAAGCAAGACCCCCTGGAGCTGAGATGATACAGCCTTACAGACTACCAAAACAAAGACTTGGTCAGGTATCTATGTTTTATCATGATCCCTATGGTATATGAACACCGTCCCCAATCAGCAGGAAGCAGTTTAGAAAGACCGACGCCCATATTCCCAAATATTGTTTATAAATGTTTGTTTTCATTTAAATGGGTTTAGTTATAAATGATAATGAGCAGAGTCAATCTCCTATTAAAGAAAGAAAAGGGGAATAGGATATAGGAATGAATACATTGGTATAGATTTTCATTTATTGATACAACTTTAAGGTCAATTGTGTGATATGTATATATCTCCTCTGGTTTAAGTATTTATTGTGTTTATACAGATCTTTTAAAATTATATACATAATTAAATACAGATTATATAGTTACCTATAATAGTCAGAACTTATAATTAGGTTAGTTAGGTTTTCTACATATACAGAGATGTATTTGAGATGGTTAGGTATTCTTCAAACCTTTCAAAGACCTACAGAAATATGGCATTTAAATGGTTTAGGGTTTTTCTTGGCAGTGAGACACAACTGCTCCTGGCACACCAATTATGTCAGAAAGAAGGATGGGTATCGAAGAAACTCGTTATGGAGTTTGCTTTCAGCATGGCAAGATTAGCCATTTGAATAAGAAACTGCTCTTGCCTGGACTATTTGTTGCTGTATAAACTGGACATGCAGGACCCACAAGAAAATGACTGCTGAACTTACAAAACAAGACAGTACTGAAGGGTCCCTGTTAAAATGGAGAAGTGTGCCAGATACACTGTGGCTTGTAGTCTGAAGATGGATGCCCCAACGTTACAGAGGAACTTTGGGTGACTATCCAGGTAGCAGATGTCCTGTCAATTCTAGAGTTTATATATTTCCCTTCTGTGGTCTTTGATAGAGTTAAAGACAGATAGTTAAGGTTATAGTTTTCTTCAGAAATTATAAAAGATAAGTTATCATTTTATTTTAGACAGAAAAGAGGAGATGATGGGTGAAGTACTTCTGTGTATGTTTATCTTATTGATTGTTTAATAAAGTTCTGCTTGGCCAATGAAATGGCAAGTTAGGCAGGACTAGGAGTCAAAGAGGATTCTGGGAAGTGTAGTAGAGAAGTGTGATCCAGGCAGGAAGTGGCATACAAGGAGACTCATATTTAAGTGAAGGAGAAACAGGAAGGGTCCCTCTTTTCCCCTCTGTTCCTGCTCCAGTGGCAGGATGTGATCCACCGGCAAGGAGGGACGCCAATAAGGCATCTGATAAGTCTTATAAAATATATAGATTTATGATAGTTAAGACTGAGCTGACTGATGAGAGTCCTAGTCTTTGGCCAAGCAGCTTTGAACCTAATACAAATTTCTGAGTATTCATTTGGGCCCTAACTCAGGCGGGCGGCGGGCATAAAGCTCATACGTGTCAGTGGGGCTCAGGCAGTTTTGGCAGAAAGATTTATCGTAACAGCGTTCCATCATGGTAGTCCAATAAAAGTAAAACACTAACGATCGGAATAGGATAGAAAACATAGAAGTAATCCCCAATATATGTTTTCAACGGATTGTTTTTTCTCTTCAAGAAATTTAGTTTAATGCCTCACCCATATAGGGAAGATTGGCATGTTCACAGATTTCAGCAGATTTTCAATGAATTTTAGGGCCCATGAAGAATTATCTTCAATATAAGTAGGCAACAAGAGAAGGGACCTAAGAGTATACCAGGTAATTGCAGTATTAAACAAATATGACTGCTCTAAAATATTCTAAGCTTAGTTGTACCTTCCAGGATTATATTAAAAATGATTTATATAATATGTAGGACTCTCCCCTCTATCTTCCTCTGGTACTTTCAGTTATCCGTACTTGAGTACAGTTCAAATATTAAGAGTAGATGGATTGATTTAACCTTTAATAAAATACCTGTAGATATAATAAAAGTGGCAAAATTGTTGTCTTAAGGTGCATCTGTCATTATGATTGTGAGAAAATGAAAATAATTTCATCTACACTTTCCAACAATCTTAATGCCAGAGAACACTCAGAAGTTACATGCCAATTCTTTGTACCAAATGCATATAATGTTTGACTGTTTCTTTTTAATCCTATAAGGGCACTAGGCTAATTATAATTAATGTAAACTAATTTGTGATTTCTGGTTTAGTTTTCAGTGTTGGAGACAAAATTATTTTTATTACTAATGTACTGTATCCTCTTTGTTTATTGCTTGAATTCCCAGTGAGGTTTTCTGTAATACCTATCCACACCTCATAATTAGGATGACATGTATTGCTTTGAAACAGTATTTTTTATAGAAGTTATATATTACATGACATGCATATAGTCATGAATGTTATCACTAATACTCATATTCTCATGGTTCCTATAAAGGTAGAAAATCCTGCCTCCAATATTGTTAGTGATAAACTGAAATTCATCTTTATATTCTGGATTTTCTTCTACTTTTTCTGTTTTGTTTTTTCAAGACAGGGTTTCTCTGTATTGCTTTGGAGGTTGTCCTCGAACTTGCTCTGTAGACCAGGCTGGCCTCAAACTCACAGAGATCCCTCTCTCTCTCTCTCTCTCCCTCTCTCTCTCTCTCTCTGTGTGTGTGTGTGTGTGTGTGTGTGTGTGTGTGTGTAGCCAAATATATAATATTTAGAGTCATAGTGTGACAATGCCACATTATAAATGAAAGTATTTATTTAAAAATATATTCCCCTACATAATTATAGACATGTGTGATTTTAGACCATATGTTATTTTATAAATATTCATACATTACATACATACATGTCAGAGGTTATTTCACATTGCCACATTTTTTCTTCATGCTCATTACCCACATAGTTTTGAAACAGGTTTTGAAGAAACTGAACAGATAGTTTTAAAGATCAAGTATTCCACGGAAAATATATCACTACATTCAAATATTCTACATAAGTTTCTGTTCACTATAGTAACCACATTTGTCGAAATGATGTTTACAACCAAATACGTTTATTTTATTACATGCATTATATGTCAGAAACAGAAAAATCTTCTCTGAGTTAAAATAAGGTGTTATTGGCTTAGTTTCTTTTAAGAGTCATATGGGGAATTTGTGGCATTGGTTTCTCAGCTTCCAGAAGCTAAGCTTATAATCAAAGCACTCAGGAAGGGGAATTACAAAATCTGAATTAAGGCTGGGCTATACAGTGAAGCTTAACCAACAAAAGCAAACTTAGAAGTTAACTTAAATAGTTGATTATAATGTAGATAAACAAAAGTGCATGATAGGTAAAAATAACAGCAAGAACAACACATAACATTTTTATAAAGAATGGGTACTTCTATTTCCTTAATTTGGAGGGAGTTTCAGGAGAGTTATATGTTCTCAACAAATTTTAAATGTTAAATATTTGCAGTGTTTGTTTTATCACAGTTACACAGTGAAACTGTGGGGAAACATATCTCAGTTTGGTTGGTGGATTATAGAATGGTTATCTTTTATGGCTAATATCTACCTATAAGTGAGTACATACCTTGTTTGTCTTTCTGGGTCTGGGTTATCTCAC